AAAAAAACTAAATTTATTAAAAATAATAGGCTTTATGTTTCTTAAACTACCTACATTTGTCAAAGTACTTATGAATTTTCGAAGATATTCGTCCACTAGTTTTATTGTTGGAATGATATATAGCAAGACTTGCATTGCCTACTAAGAAAGTTAGTAGCCGGTTGTCATCAGGTTAATCACCATGGATTCATATTTTTACAACTTTTGATAATATTATGCAATGTTACATCATAAAACAATAATAGTCTTCCTGCAATATGATCATTTTCTAACAGAGATATGAGTTTAGTAATATAAGTGTACAAACATATACAAAATTTGATTTTGAACAGTCAAAATGCAGATAGTATTGAACTCAATTATAGGTATTTCTGACTTTTTCTCATTTAGGTAATGTACAAGTGTACCGAAAAAAATTTGCTTTATAACTCAAGATCTTGTCATTTTAAAAACCAATAGAAACCTTACAGATATTCTAAAATATATACTAGCTAAAGATTTAGGTGACTTTTCAACAAATTATAAAACCTAAATATCTCAAAAGCAAACCATTATGTTTTTTGTTGTTGTTGTTTTTTGTGAGAAATACAGATCAGTATCTGATTATTTGATCATACAAGCCAAATGACTTTTACATAAAAATTCTCTTTGCTTTTAAAAGGATTGAAGTCAAATTTTTATGAAAAATTGTGTTGTTATAGCCACATATCACAAAAGTAACACTTTTTAACATGCTTTAATAGAATAATACTATGTTCTACTACAACACTTATCATCTCTAAGCTCAGAGCTATTAACCTAACACCTAAATTTAAATATCTTAATTCTGTTTAGGGCTTATTAGATCTTAATTGCATGAATATTAATCTAATAATTTGTAATAGCAATCAATGTTATATGTTGTATTATTATTTGTAAGATAAAGGTTTAATTATAGCTTCATACCAATTTACAATGCTATTATTAACAGTGTGTGAAATTATCATACCTAAAAACCTACTAACTGCAACCTTTCAGATGGGTTTATTAAAAACAAGAATTCACATATAAACTTCAAGAAGGAGCTCATCATGTCTATTGCATAAATATTTAATTAAAATATTCAGTTAGCAACTTCCTCTGTGGCCATATACCATACCTGGACCTCCTGGCTCCCCCCTCTCCCCCACTGGACCCTGAGATCCTGGGGACCCAGGAATAGGTTCACCAATAGATACAGTTGGTCCAGGTGGACCCTGATGTAAAAGAGAAAATAAACTAATAATAATACTGTCGACAATTTGAAGTTAAAATTTAAACTTATATCTCTAAGAAGGCTCTTCTACTTTAAAGAGATATTTTTTCTTTCCAAACAGTCATCTCATACAATCACATAGCACAGAAATGATACTGGAATATATAACTGAAAGTTTTAAAATTTATGCTTCTTTGACATAAAAATTTATTATGAGAATATACAAAGGTTATAATTTAACAAATCATTATATGAAATAAGTGAATGTTATTGTAACAAAACGTTTTCATCAAAAAATCATATTAAACAGTCTTGAATTACATTATTAATGGACATTAGCTTCTTGAAACACATTGCACAATTAGATAGAACTATCATATGAAATTCTAAAAGACAAAAGTATAACCTTTGATCAAAACTATAGTCACACCAGAATGAAGTTACATTGTGGACAGATTTGATGTTCATTAAACACTTCATAAAATTAGGATGTTGTCCTGCACTGTGAATCACTGATAATTAAGAAATATTATAACAATGTTATACTGAATATCAAAATTCAGAATAACTGCTGTGAGCTACACTTTAAAACTGAAAGACTGAATACCAGATCATATTCAATATAGTTTCGATTGACAATTGTTTGCTTAGGACAAAATTTATATATGTTGTAGGAAAGAAACCTCAAGTGAAAGTTATAATCATATATTATTGAGAGGTTCAAGTTTGGTTTTTGCATATCATATTAGGACTAAATACAGGGTGGACCAAAATTATTTTCCCTATTTTGAAATGTAATATTTAAATAACTAAGGAAATAGAACCATGTAGTTTTCAACATCTTGTAGGCCAGCTCAACAATTTTTATTGTAATGTTTTTTTTTTCACTCCACTGAGTAGGGTTACCCTGTAAAATGGCAACCATGTAAGAAAAGGCTTAATGTGTTGTTTGGCTTGCAGAGACCAAGTCAGTGACTGTGGTGCAGCATAATTACAGATGCTAGTACAAGAAAGAAGTATGGGGGTATGTTAAGGATATCGTGCATCGCACACCTATAGCAAACATCATGGAGCTAAATACCAGGATAACAGACACCATTGTCATTGTAACTGCAGACATGCTGCAGCAAGGGTGGACTGAAATCGAATATCAGTTAGACATGCTGAGAATCTCTAATGGTGCATACATAGAAGTCTACTGACATGTCAATAAAAACTGTTTAAATTGGGCTACAAACTGTTGAAAACTGAATGGTTGTATTTCCTCAGTTAGTTATTAAATTTTAAAATGGGAAAGATAATTTTGAACCACCCTGTACTTTACCTTTTTGCTATCTTTTAAATGAATATTAATTGTGGGTCATCTATATTTCTGTGTAAAACTGTAAAATATTTTTTATCTGAAAGCCATTGTTATAAGCTCAGATAACTTGTAATATACCTTCCATTTAACTTTCTAATATATTTTACATTTACACAAACTAAGATCTAATGCTTTTGACATTCACAACTTAATTCATGCATTTGTTTATTTTTTTAATTTTTTACTTGTACACTCACTAAAGAAATCAGGCCTCTATTGAGTTTGAAAATTGTGCTTATTTTGAGTTGCAGAGTGTGACCTGCCTTTTTTTGAAGTGAGGTTATTCTTTTTGGGTTTGTGTCATTTCTTTTACTTTTATTGGTTAGAAAGCCAGCAAGTCTCACTGAAGGATGATTTCATGTAATGAATCACTCTTGTTCAGGCCTAAATATGTTTCATGCTTCTAAACTGAACAACTCAATGCCTTAAAATTAATGAAATGGAATACAGAAAGTAATTATCAAAATGTTAATATTGTTACGACAGCGGAAGTCACGCAACACTGGAAGCATGCACGCTGGAGTTTCTAGAAGGATCATGACTGTTCCTGGTAACTCTAGTCTTTTCTAGGTACCCTCTATTTTAGTATATAAGCCCGGCCAATAAAGCGGAGATATAATAGCAGATAGATGGAGATAGAGATAGATAACTGAGTCAAGTGAGTGGTAGTAACCATAAGTAAAGTGCGTGAATCGATGTGAATTATGGCGTGTGTTTAAGTTAAAGTTACTGTGGAAATTCTGTGTACTATAAAGTTGTATTGGGAAATAATAAACCAGTTTTAATTAAGAAAGGACTTGTATCGCTGAAGTTTCTCGGAAAGAATTTGTACAGGAAATTATCAAACAAGTAAATACGTAACAAATTGGTGTCAGAGAGTGAGACGGGAAAAAAAAAAAAGAAGATGGAAACAAGTGGTGGCAAATTAAACTACAGCTTAGCAGATTTGATGGCAGCAATACAAAAACAGCAAAAGAAACAAGAAGAACCAGAAAATAAACAAGAGGAGAGACAACAGCAGTGGCAAGAAAACTTGCAACAGTGGCAGCTCGAACAGCAAAATAAGCAAGAGAGATTACAGCAGTGGCAACTAGAACAAGAAAGGAAACAGGAAGAAAGTCTCCAACAGTTGCAGGAAAGTCAACAACAGTGGCAAGAAGTACAAATGGAAAACATTAGTAAATTACAAAGTGAATTAAATACATCAAAGGTTGATTTAATGTATTTTACACAACGAGGATATATTTGCCATCGACCTAATCAGCCCCAGA